CAGTCATAAATAGTGTGGTGACACGCAAGGGAGAAGCGTATATAGAAGTTCGCTGTCCCCTCCGTGGGTCACAAATGGTTGGCTCATTGCAGACTGGCCACAAGGTTATAAACAAAGTTGCCACCACCCTGGGTAGGAGAAGGGCCTCGTTTTCACCTTCCCAGAGCCACACTTGCCCTCCCTGGGCCAAGACCCTCAGTGTGACCTGTGAAGATAAAATGTACGTCTGGGGGCCCTTGGCGCCTGGCTCTCAGGCTCCTGCCTGTAGCCAACGGCTTATGAAGAGTCTCCTGCCTTCTGCCACCCTGTCCCGTGGGCCGCCCCATAGAGGGGTCCATGAATAGGGTCTGCCCTTCCTGAACTTTCCCAGCATGCCTGACACCCAGGCACCAGTGCCCAGAGGGGCCTCCTCCCAAACATCAGGACATCACCGACAGCCACCCACCCACCCAACGTGGGCTCCTGGGTCTGGCAGGAGGTGAGGCCAGTCACCCAGCTAAGCTCCGCAGACGAGGAAAAAGGCCTAAACTTGGGAGTCAGATGAGCCTGGGTTCTTATCCCAGAGCAGTCACCCACTAGCAGTATCAGCTCCGCCTTTCTGCAGACAAGGCCTCCCTGAGCGGGAGGACAGGGATCAAAGGAGCTGGGCCCAGGCTGGACGCTGGGATGGACTCACTGACCTCTATGGGTTGGCCCTAAGGGACCTCACTCCTCTTTGAAGAGTGAACGGCCAGGGGCCATGCTCCCTGGGCATGCAGAGAAGCCAGTCCTTTCCAGGGCAGCTCCCCGGAAGGTGGTCTGAAAATAGAAGAGCAACTAGAGATGAGAAAGGAGGTCCCACAGAGGATACACAGGACAGCCAGGTAAGACTGTCACACCTGCTCCTCTGCCCACGGCCCGGGTGACCCCAGCAAAGGCCAGGCAGGAGGAGTGGGCAGAGCAGAGAGGCAAGGAGTTCGTGGAGCAGGCGGGGGCCTGGCGCAGAGCAGGGCAGAGAGCCCACTCTGCCTGGAAGTGAAACTCAGATGGATTGTGAGGCCAGGAATGGAAAAGCAGTTCGAGATTGTGTGAAAGTGGAAACAGAAAGCTACCTGCTGCCCCAGCATTTCCCAGCCTCCTCTGAGATGACTCCACACCCTGAGGTCCCTGAGGAACAAGGTCCACCCCTGACTGGCCAGCTTGGCAGATGGAAGAGAGGTACCAGCTCAGCAACCAGCGGGCTGGCGGGGTGGGGGCCTGGAGTCCGCAGCCAGGGGAGGACAAGGAGACGCTCTCCCAGTCCGCTCGAGAGGACATAGCAGGCAGCGTGCGGCAACAGAGTGGGTGTGCCTCGAACCGGCTCTGGGAGAAAATAAAGAATGCCAAAAAGGACCCCGAAATCCTCACTGCCCTACTCCTACCTAGCACTGATGTGGCAGAGAATGTCTCTTAGATTTATCAACAGGCTTCCCAAACCTGGCCATGCCATGATGTCTAGCCCTCAGAGCAAACTCGCCTACTAGAAACAAAAACAAGTCTGGAGCCCTCATTCAGTTCAGGGAACCACCAGGAGCCTGTTCGGGCCGTGCCTGGCGCTTCCGTGAAGCGCGGCCTCACGGCCCCGGGTACGAGAACGAACAGCTCTCCCGTTACCTGAGCCCCGCCTTAGCTCGGCACCCTTCCCGTGTCACCACCTACGGCTTGTGAAGGGGAAGCCAGGACGGCTCTGCCCCGATTTCTTACCTCCTCTCGCTGACTTCCTTTTGCATTAACTTTGAATATGCTCAGGGACATGTTGTGTTCCTCTCAAGAGAGCCAGCCAGGCCTCATGGTGAATTCCTCCTCAGCAATATATATCAGTCAGAAACAGGCCAACAGGAAGGCCACAGCTCCACGGGGAGAGCAGAGGACTTCAGAAGCAGCAGCAGCTCAGGCACAAGGTTAGTAGTCTTCAGTCACTTGGCAGGGGGAAAGTGTGTCCCTCTCCGCAGGGGCCTTCGAGTGGGAACTGCCACCATCAGTGCAGAATTACCCAACCTGACTCGGTGCCTGAGGTTACCCTGTCCATCCTCCCGCTTCCAGACACAGAAAGTTCTCCAGCAAAAAGAAACCATCATCCACCCCCCACCCCCACCCCAGGTCTGCTGACAACTCTGGGTTCTCCCAGTCGGTGGTTCTTCGTTCCCACCCAAACCCCCTTGTCACAGTAGGATCAGCTTTCTCCACAAAGCCAGGGACAGGCAATTACCTTCCCTACAACAGACCCCTGCGGAGAGATGGTTTCCAGTGAGAAGACCTAGCGCCTCCTCACAACTTCTCCTTCCAAGATACAATTTCTCATTCCATCGACAAGTCCTAGTTCCCAGTCTGTTCAGGCCCCAGCTAATTCTGGAGCCAGAGTTAAATAACAGGAAAAAGACATTTCTTTTTCTCTCATCAGCATCATCATCACGAATAACAACAGGCCCCGTTTATTAGTCTAACTCACTTCTCCCCACTTGACAGCCAGGGAAACAGGCCCACAGAAGCTGCATGGCTTGTCCCAGATCACACAACTGGGAGCAGCAGGGCTAGAATTCAAACTTCAGCCTGATTCTTTAAAATGATCCCATTTGCCTCCAGGAGAAGAGAGCACTCGCTACCTCACTCCCTCCTGGGTCCACAGGGCCTGGCACAGAAGATGCCCAGAAAGTGTTTGTTTCATAACGACTCAGTGTGTGGCTGGACAGACAGAAAGACTAGTGAGCGGGCGAGCAGGTTAAAGTGAGCCCTGCTGATCACAACCAGCACCAATGCCAAGGTGCACAGGAAGTGCCTGTCTCACCGGCTGAGGCACGCAGGACCTTCCCAGTCGCTGCCCCCCGCCGCCTGAGCTGCCACCAGCCAGAGGGTCAGTGATTTAAAAACAGGTGACACCTGGCCGCTTGGATCGTTTCATCCTTCCTTCACACAGGAGTCTGCTTCCTCCAACTCTGGGGAAGGCCCTCTCCCTGAGCGCTGCAGCGGCATGGCGCTGCTCCTGGCTCTTTCCTGCCCAGCAGCAACCCCCCTCCCCATCATTGCATTAAGACAAATGTGCACGGACCAATTGCACTGGGAGCTGTCTCTAGGAAGAGCGCTGACCATGGGGGTCACTGGAAGAGGAGGTGCTGTCTTACCCCTTCCCCTCACACCCAGCACTTGGGCCATCATCAGCTCCCCAGCAAGAGCCCCTGTGCTCAGGGTGGCTGCCAAGCCTGCCGAGGGTGGCAGCCCCTCTCCCCGAGTGCCCAGAGGGAGAGGCGGTTCTGAGAAGGCAGCGAGCAGAAGGACCTGCAGGCTCAGAGGCTCATTACTGGGAATGACTAAGTGAGCTGTGATTCCAGGGGAAACCCCACTCGCTTCTGCACGCTGAGGGGTTCAAATCCTTGAGCTATTTAGATGGAGGCTGCTTCTAGGAGCTGCTCAGCTGGGCAGCCCCCCTCTGAGCAGCCAGGTTCCCAGGGGAAACCCTCCACCTGGAAGTCTTGGCACTGGCTAAGAGGTCATCTGACAGGTCTGCCCCAGCCGCTTCCAGAACGACCAAGTCTGCCCATCCCCTGTTAGAACTCAAGGCTGGGAACGGGGGAAATCCGATCAGCACCTCCTAGGTTTTAGCGGCTGCATTTCAACAAGGAATGTGACAGTCTCGCAGCAGCTGTGCCCAGCCTGAAACAAGCTCTATTTGAAACCTCCAACAGCTGAACCCCTCCCAGCTACCGGCAGCCAGCCCAGCCACCCCCTGCCCCAAATGACAAATAAGTGAGAAATGCAAGCAACGAGCAAGCACACATACACACACATGCACTCACACGTGCACACATACACACACCAACAAATTGGGGGTGAGGGGTAGTTGTGAGAAATCCACTTGTCCCACGACTCCCCAGGTCTGCAAGCCTTGGAGCCCACAGCAGGCAGAGCACAGCAGAAACCCACCTTCCTCAATCCCCACTGCCTCGGAGGGCAGGATTTCCAAGTCCCCTCTGGGAGGGAACCCCGTCCTCGGTTTTGAGCTGGACTGAGACTGGAGCAGTGGGCCAGCTCCCCTGCTAAAGCGGGTGCTGCCGGTCTCCATTGGCGCGCTCACACACTCGCGCACACACACACTCAGCCTTATTTATCCCGAGAGAAGGAGCTGGGGTGGGAGGGGAGAACCGGGACCGAGCCCAGCAGCGGGCTCTCGGGAAGCCCAGGAAGCCTTGTCATCCCATCTGAAGAAGAGGCCCTACCCCCGCCCCCAGGCTGGTGCCAAGGCGGCGCCCATCTGCTCTGCCTGGGGAACACCTGTAGCCATTTTTATCAGGGGATGTTTATGAGGCAGCAGCAGGTTTATTCTGAGTCCTCCTTCCTGAGGGACAGGACTGCTGATTTCCTCCACCTATATTTTTACCCCAGGCCCCAGGAGACTCAGGTCACTGGTGGTTTATGATTTTGCCCTAAGTCTCTCAAAGATAAGGAGGGAAGCAGAAACTTGGGAAGAGAGGGAGCAGACAGAGAGAGGAGACTGGCATGGAATCCCCACCCCCCACCCAGACATTTATTTCTTTTTTATCCTCAGGAAAATGGAGTGGAGCAAGGAGGGGAGGAGAGGAGGGGAAGTCACAGGAACTGGCAAGCACATCAAGGCAGAGAGAGTGTAATTAATTGGTGCGTTAAGCTTCTGGGTTATGCTTTAGTATGGGTGAGCCAGGAGGAAAAATTATTTCTCAGAAGGGATTCTTTAATCCTCCCTAACACGGAGTCTGCAAAGGAGACACAGTGTATGGGGATGTCCCCACCAAGAAAGCAAGGAATGAATTCTCCCAGGATTAAGAAGGAAAACCATGGGAAGTTAGAGTGTTCAATATAATTGAGCAACCGCCTCTTCCCCCACCACCACCTCTCTCCCCAATCTCTCTCTCTCTCTCTCTCTCTCTCTCTCTCGCTCTCGCTCTCTCTTTCTCTCTCTCTACCTGTATATTCCTTTTGTTTAAGGTATAAAGAGAAACCGCAACCCCTACCTTTGAGTACAAACCCCAAGAGAGCTCGGTCTCTATCACCATAACAACAATTCCAAACATCCCAAAAATCAGAGCATAGTCACTCAGTCGCTTTCTCTTTTCAAACAGGGCCCTCCTGTGTCCCAGCTTATAGCCAATGTTTTGGTTTTTCCGCTTGTTGGCTTTGGGGAAGGTGGTGCTGCTGGGGGTGGTGCCGGCATGCTGGTGGTTGTGGGTGGCATTGGGGTGATGGAGCAGGGTCTGGTGGGCATGGTTGTCCTCCCGGGAGGAGATGACGATTTCGGGGGGGTTGCCAGGGCTGAAGAGCTGGAGGGGCTGGCCCTCAGGCTCAGCCTCGATGAGGTTCCTCCGGGAGGCGCTGAGGCGGCTGAGGGGCTTCATGACCCCACCACTGTACTTGCAGGAGCTCATGGCGATCTCTGTGAAAGGGTTGCTGTCCCGCCGGTGCACCAGGGGGCTGGCCTGCCTGTGCCGGCTGCCTCCACCAGGCCCACTTGTGGCTGTGGAACTTGGAGAGTGGCCAAGCAAGTGGTCATTGAGATTGAGCTGGCTGCCTTGCCTGGAGGAAGGGTGGAGGATGGCGGTGGAGTTGGACAAAGGGGGGGCCCTGAAAGCAGTGGGAGAGGAGTGCAGCAGGCCAGGGTGGACAGGCTGGCTCTGGAGTTGGGCGAGCTGAGACAAGGGATGCAGTGGCTGCTGCTGCTGCTGCTGCTGCTGCTGCTGCTGCTGCTGCTGTTGCTGCTGCTGCTGCTGCTGCTGCTGCTGCTGCTGAGGCTGAGGCTGCAACGGGGGTCCTGGGGGCTGCTGGGGGGCTGCTGGTGGTGCGGGCAGCGGTGGTGGCGGCTGCTGCTGCTGCTCATCCCCGGAGGATGGACAGGGGCACTTGGGGTCTTCATCCAGGTCCCCCACCCCCGAGTCATGGAAGTGCCCAGAAGTGTCCATCTTGGGGCCTGGCTGGATTCCCTGCAGTGCAACCCCCAACCCCAAAGCCACCCTTGCTCCAGAGATGTCCTCAAAGAGAGCCAGGCATCCAAGCTCCCCACCAGAGTGTCTTGGTTCCAGTCCTCTCTCTGTGGCTTGCTCCGGCTCCCTGGGGCTGCTTGGAGTCCAGACGCTTCCAGTCAAGAATGCATTGTACTGGGCAGGAAGGGAGGGTAGGAGGGGAGCTTGGAGAAAGCAGAGGGGAGAAAGAACTGTCTCAGGAGGTGGTCCTCTAGGAGCATGCGAGGCCAGGCTCAGCTTCACTCCTCGCTGGCTCAATAGCTTTGCTCTCCTCCTCCTGCCACTGTTATATTGTAAGCCCAGCCCACTTATTAGCAGCAGGTCTCATTGGCTTGGCTTAACTCTCCCACCACCTCCTAACTCCGCCCTCCTTATAGGCTCCTCCCCGGAGGAGGGGCCTGCCGCTCTCAGCTTCCAGCCCCGCGGCCGCAGAGGGAAGACTGGGAACTGTAGTTTTCGCTCCCCCCATGGGAGCTAAGCAACTGCCCCCTTCCCCCGACAGGTAGAAAGCCGGAGCCCACGACTATAAGCGATGTACGCGGCACACGAGCGGTGGCGAAGAGGAGCAGAGGGCCTCCTAAGGGCTTCCTGATGCGAGGCAGGAAGCGGGAAGACAGTTATTAATGGCCAAGGTCTACGATAGGTTGTTTTCACACATATTATCCAGTTAACATCCTCCAAACACCCAAGAAGGCGGGCATTATGTTCCTGTTTTACAAACTGATGCTCAGAGATGTTGAGTAACAACTACAAGGTAATAGAAGCAGAGGGGATCCACCTCCTCTTGACTCCAGGTGGATAAGCTCACCCACTGAAACCGTGCAGCATGTGTATGGAGGCTTCTCTGTTATTTCTAACCCTTGCATCAACCCTATGAAAATGTCATCATTTTCCTTTTACTGATGAAAACTGTAAAAAAAAAAAAAAAAAGAAGAAAGAAAGAAAGAAAGAAAGAATAGAAGTCACTTGAGCACAGGTAAGTAATTTAGCGGATATCACCCAGCTTGTAAGTAAGGGTGCTAGGACGTGAACCCAGGTCAGTCTGACCCCACACCTCCTATATCACCTTCCAGGATGCCTTCCCACTACGATGCTTAGCACAAAGTGGTTGCTCTATAAATGTTGCTCAAACGATGGGTGGGAAAGAGCCAGAGAGAAGCTGTATGGGAGGAGCCAGCCTCCCCAGGACAGGATGTGTGAAGTGGACCATGGTTCCAGCTGGGCATGGAGTCACCAGAGGGTCTGACAGGAAGACGGAAGACCCCCATGGTCACTCCCTACCTGATCTGTCCTATGGGGCTTTGAGAGTCAGAGTTGGGAACAGCTGCTGGCTTCCCAGGTTCAGAACCATCATCAAGTATTTATTAAGCTCCCACTGTGTGCAAAGGGGTTCGAAGGAGATGGGACTAAGAGCTGAATTCATTTCCGTTTCTATCTGCAGCAGCCCTGCTTCCCCATCTCCCCTTGGCCTCTGTCCAGCTGCTCCTGGATAGGAGAGGAGAAGCCATGAGCATGCGCAAACACATGCAGGTGCACGCAGGTGCATATGTGTGCACACACTGGCCCAAAAATGTGCATTTGCCCACACACATGGACATGCACATACACATGCCCAGGAATGCACACACTCAGTGAGTTTCTAAAACAGCTCTCCTGAATAGTGACCAGCAAGCGGCCAGATCAGGAAGGGGCAGAGCTCCCATCAAATCAGCCCATACTACTCTCTGTATATCAGTTTCACCTCTTTAATGCCCTCTCAGCCCTGATGATTGAGAGGAAAATATCACCTGTAATATAAGCACAACCCCAGAAACCTGAATAAATTATAATTAGTCACACATAATAACCTGTTCTTTAATCCTCACCTGAGGATACGTTTATTGATTTTAATTTTTTTGAGATTTTATTTATTTATTTATAAAGAAGGGAAGGGAAGGAGAAAGAGAGGGAGAGAAACATCAATATGTGGTTGCATCTTGCACGCCACCTGCTGGGGACCTGGCCTGCAACCCAGGCATGTGCCCTACACTGGGAAGCAAACCAGCGACCCCTTGGTTCACAGGCTGGCACTCAATCCACTGAGCCACACCAGCCAGGGCTGTTTATTGACTTTAGAGAGACAGGAAGGGAGAGAGAGAAACATCACTGTGAGACAGAAGCATTGATGCAGGCCCTCCAGTACCCCCCCACCACACACACCCCCTCCAGCATGCCCTGCCCTTCCTCCCCTTCCCTTCAGTCTTCTTGGTTTCCCTCCCTCCATTTCCAAACAGAGTCACCTGTTTGGTTCAGTGCTCCAATCGCATACTTAGGCTTCATTATTTCCTAATAAATTATCATTACTATGTTGTTAGTAGCAGACATGTGTTGTTAGTACTGGTTCTGAGTGCCAGTAAACATCTGGCTGCGGCAGGCTCCAGGCCTGGACACCCCCGTGCCCCGCCACCATAACCACCTTCTGCCTCCTCCGGCCTTGCCGGGCCAGCCTCTACCTCCAGTTCTTCTGGCTGTGCCAGCTGGATCCCAATGGGGGATGTTGGAGTCAGTCCTGCTATCATGGATAGGGATGAAAAACAGCTGGGGGCAGGAAGAGAGGAACCAAATTATGCCAGAGCCAAAGGTCAACTAGAGACTCATCTGGACATGGGCTGGAACTGGGCTGCTAATGGCACTAAGCAGCTCATGCTTAGAGTCAGTCAGTCAGTCATGGTTAGAGCTTGGGCTCTATAGTCAGATTGCCCAAGCCGGAGCCCCTGTCTTCCACACGATGGTTGTGTGACCACAGGCAGAATCCTCAGCTTCCCACTGTATGAAATGGGAGCAGTAGGGCCCCTACCTGGAGGAGTTTGGGAGGATTAGATGCAAGTCAGCATGAGTGGGCTCTCCCACAGGCCCACACATGATGGCCTCCAAGCCTTCAGTGGTGTGCTGGAGCTGGCTGGTACTGTCTCATAGAAGCCAACTGTGCGTATCTCTCCCAAATCCCACATCCACTGGTATCACATTGATAGCTTGAAGTCAGTGATGGTGGGAGTGTTTATGCCACAGGAATTGGCAAACACTTCACAGCAGGGTTGACCATCTTTGGTGAGCTGGTTGTTAAACACTTGCTGGCTGTTATACGTTTGTTCACCAGCACACCTCTGCCCCTTATCCCATATTGTGATATAGTATATGAGCACTTCACCCTCCTCTAACCATTGTCCAAGCACTTCCTCTCCTCCCTCCCTCTTACCAGCACAAGCTTTGCCACTTGCTTACTGCGTGACCTTGGGCGAATTGCTTAACCTCCTTAGCTCCAATGAGGTAGCACTGATCAAGTGCTTTGTCACTGGAAAGTACCTAATGGACTAGTAAGCCAACTGGAAGCTGCTCAGCCACAGGGCCTGCTCATAGCAGGTTTTCCATCCTGCCCCCCAGACACACTGCTCTCAAGCCTCTGCCCACCATTGCTGAAGGTCCAATCCTCCCTGTTGGGAAGCCTCCGATGCTCCCCTTGGCCCACAGCAAAAACCATGTCTTCAAAATCACCCATGAGTTGAAGTCATCACCCATTTTATAGGGGAGAAACGGAGGCATTAGACAGATTAAAATACTTGCCCACAGGTACTAACTAGTAACTAGTGGCATAGTAGGAATCAAACCCAGATCTGTCTGACCCCCAAGCCCAAGCACTTTTCTCAAATGCAAATCAGTAGAATTCAGTTTTACTAGTATTTCTTAAACATTGTCATGTGATTCACACAGCCAGCTCTCAGGAACTTATGGTCTCACTGTAGAAACAAGCTACACTCACATGGAATGATAAAAAACCACAACAGAGATCCCAAAGTTTGGTATAGACAATGGAGTTCTTACAGGCAGAGGGTAGTTAGTGAAGGCTTCATGGAGGAGGTGAGATTTGAGCCACACCTTGAAGAATGGGCTCTTCCTTCACACACATTAGGCTTATTCAGTCTATAAATCCCCCTATGGGGAGATTTGGTGGAGTTTCTTAGCTCAGAGAAAACAGGGAAGGTGAGCAAGGACATGCTCACCTTCGGCCATACCAGCTCCACGTCAGCCGCACTTGCCCCGGCCGCACTCATTCCCCAATACCTCCCCTCCGTAAGCTCCAACAAGGCCGGCTTCTTATAGCTCCTCCCATAAACCACGCAAGCGCACGCCTCCGTGCCTTTGCTCATGCTGTTCCTCTGTCTGGCATGCCCTTCCCCTGCACCTTCACCTACACATTTCTTTTTTGCCCTTCAAGATAAGGCTCATGGGTTTTCTTTCAGGGAAGCCTCTCTCAAATTTCCCAAACCCAAATTAGGGGCATTTCTCCTATATTTCCAGTACCTGGTGCTCACCCCTATTCCTACCTTTATCAAACAGTATAGCTGTTACCTCTGTATGTCCTTTTTTCCTAGGCTATGACCGGCTGGAGGGCAAGGATGATATGCGCTCCATCACTGTACCTGCAGCTCTTGTAGAGAGCCTGGTATCTAATAGATACTCTTTTTTTCTAATAGATTATTAATAAAAACTAGTTGAACTGAACTGAACTGGAAACCTGGGAGAGGTCATACAGAGGCAAACAAGAGGAAGGAGTAGTAGTTTCTACAGCAAATAATAACCACAACTTCCCTTTCAGTATAATGAGTGAGATAGAAGAGGTGATTCTTAGGATCACTCAGCTTTAAAATCCCATAATCTGTGATCTGTGGCATTTGTTTCCCCCAAAGGTAAAACTGACTGAAAATAGGTCTAAGAAAAGTAATGATCTGTGGTTTATACGGCTGTCTTTCCCACTAGACTATGAAGTCCTTGAGCACAGAGAAGGGGTCTAATTTTCTTCTGTATCCTGGGCACTGTGTTGGGTGCCTGGTCATGTAAACATTCACTAAAGGTTTATTGGATGGATGGATGGGTGAACAGACAGACGAGGGGGTGGGTGGGTG